AGTTAGATAATTCTGAAAGATGTTTTTAGGATTACTGCATGAGATTGCAATTGTGGGTCCGATTATTTTCTTAGTTTCTTTATCGACTGAGATGTTACTGGTGAAGGCTGAAAAGGATTGTACTCGCACATCAAACAAAGGTAATTAATGAATACTATAAACGTCGATTTTCTGTTGTTCTCAATTTAAAGTCTGCCATTTGTAGTTGGATTTCAGAAAATCCTTGAATAAATTGAATCTCATTTTTGTGCAGCTTACAATTGTTCAAAATGGAGAARCTGAAATCAAATGCAACTGCCATGGCAGCGAAATTTCGTATATAAATTACAAATAGTGACTATTTAGTYGATATTTAGTGTTTTGCGTTTCATTATGAGATATAAGCTTGGATTGTGGTGAGGTAAGTCATACMATAGAAATAGTAGAAATAACGTTTCACTGTAACAGGATTAACGTGTTGTCAGTATAACTACAGTTTTGATGGTTGCGGCGTAGATACCGATTCCTTATTTTTCCGATTTGTCTTGAACAGGGTATGGATTTTTACTTTCTAGTGTCTTAAACAGGGTCAGGGTTTTAGACCGCTGGCGGCACGTACCTATCCAAAACGGGGTCGAGTACCCCGAGGTCGAGTACGTTGGCTTGAGCATCGATAAGTCACATGACTTTGACCTCGAGTTATAAACACCTAAGCGTTTACATTTCTAGCCTGCGTGGCGGCTCTAGGGGAGGGGGAGGGAGAAAACGGAAGGGGAGGGGGTGGGGAGGCAGAATTCACCCGAGTCTCCTTTACAAATTGCTCCTTTGTTGGACTTCTACATTTCTAGCCTGCGTGGCGGCTCTAGGGGAGGGGGAGGGAGAAAACGGAAGGGGAGGGGGTGGGGAGGCAGAATTCACCCGAGTCTCCTTTACAAATTGCTCCTTTGTTGGACTTCCTGTTCCTCAGGAAAGTGGTAGGCTGCAAAGGAGACTGAATTCACCCTAGTCTCCTTTACAGACTGCTCCTTTGTTGGACTTCCTGTTCCTCAGGAAAGTGGTAGGCTGCAAAGGAGACTGAACTCACCCAATGATGATCATATTTCACTTACATTTGATAAATCAATCGATTGGCTGGCCTGTTGCTCCACGACGCATGGTTGGTTGGTAGATCGGTTGGTYTGTCGGTTRATTAATTGATTGATCGATTGCCCTATTAATTGAGTGGTTTATTAATTGATTCATATAATTAATATATAATATATTCACTATTTACATAATATTGGTACTGTGGCAGACACTCCCACTAGTGAAACGCCTTGGCTGTTTCAAAGCACAGTCGCATTCCTCTCTTCTGAACGAGTTAWTTCTAACCGATCGTGATCCAAGCTCAGCAAATTACAGTGGGACCCCAGTACAGTGGAGMAACTGGAATCCCTATCTATYTGACATAGCCCGTAGGTGTTCTGAACAGGCTAAGGAATTAGGATATGACATCTTTGGGATCGAATTCTACGGTAAGTATCACTGGAAAAAGTCGCAAAAAGGTTGTAAATTTGATGTAAATATTATGTAAAATATAGTTTCCAAAATGATGTAAATTTGATGTAAATGATTTATTCATGGTATTACATCAAGTTTACATCGTTTTGGAAACTATATTTTACATAATATTTACATCAAATTTACAACTTAACATTTAAAGTGCAAAATTTTTGTGACAGATAACTATTTGAATGCATATTATATACCACACCATGCACATCTCAATGGATAGTAGTATTGATCGCGAAGGGGATCATTCCCGACCACCTAGATAGCATGTTCCACGAGGAGGCATTTTGGTCATGATCCCTAGAAACATTTTCTTTAATTCCTACAAAATTCTTTTCTTTGAAATGGCTTCGCATGCAATATACATGCAGCAAAACAAGATCGAGCGCATATTCAAATATCGGGACCCACGTTTTGTCATCAGGTGAATGTTGGAGTGGTTTCAAAGCCACACCTGAGTCGTTTGATGAAGGYAGTCGATCCACTCATTGTATTGGCAAAAACTACGAAGAKTGTGGCGAGAATGAAYAGTACTGTGTTGGAAAAGAAGATGTAATCTTTGTTTACGAACGTCTAGGTATGTATGCGGCAAGGRATAGAAACTKGGGTAACTCAAAAACTTGTTGACCTGACAATTTTTAGCTTTGTAATGCTACACTGTGAATATTCCATACTGTTGTCACGTGTATAAGAATCGCAAATATATAAGAACTTCCGTAGCTTAAAACAGGTACAAGTTTAGTTTTTGAAGAAAGCTAAAAGAGATGTATTTGTGTTCAAGAGTCAATCAATATATCGGCGTTATAATAGCGTTATAATTCCAATGTTGTTCATTTATTTTGATAAGAGAAAGCCGATGAGCTCAATCCGTACATGAATTATCTCTTCAATCCGCGTCTCACCTTCACTGGAACGTTCAGTGCAGATGTAGCAACTGTTAACAACATACCAAGTAATTACGACACGGTTAATTTTGTCCCATCAAACTACTTAAAGCGAACCAGGACATGGAACTCTCGAGGAAGTGGAGAATGGGACGTGAGGAACGCCACTGTTACGCAAGTCTGTTATTTCAATGGGACTTGTGTGGCAGAAACCAAAGCCGACCCAATCGTGGACGCAGACGTTTTGGGTAAGCATTTCGTASTTCAATGATAACGAAATTAGCGGTGAATGCATTTGCAGGTTTGGGCACCATATTTAGGAGCTTGTTTATCGTTTATGTTTTTTTTKTGTGTAAAAAGATAAATTCAACATCATAAAAAATGAGGTGAAACAACTTACTGACGTTTCKGACGTTAATGCTTCGTCGGAGTAAAGAGAGGCGAGCATTATGCATTTTTTCCAACCTCAAACACCCTTGAAGAAAATTCTGGAAATGTTTCTGAAGAAACTTTGGAATCCATGCCATTTATAGATTTGATTGGAAAATAATTTTCATAATTCCTGCCCTATTTTCAGATGGAGGAAACGGCACATTGGCCAAACTAGTCGATCTGGACACGAATTGCCAACTGTTTTCTGAGATCTGGGGTTGGAGAATTCGAATCGGAAATTTTTTCTCTGGGAACTTCACACCTGTRCCGTTCCAATATATTTGGAGTAAACTRGTTAATCCTAAAACAGTTACAGTTTGTGACTTGGGATCTGCCTGGCAGTCAGASTTGACTGATATAAGATGGATAGACGACAGTTCTCCGTTGATAAAGGAATGGAAAAGGTTAATGAAGAGCAGAAATGTCCAAAGTGATAAGTTGTCCATACGTTTCAATGTCGATTTGATGGAGAATGACCCTAAAAAGAGCAATTTTTTACATGGACGCATAACAGGTGATTTACTTCTGATACATTCTTTAAAAAACAATACGCCTTTTGCATGAAACGGTCACAAGGTACAATATCCGCCATACTGGATGGCAAAAGAATGTAACCATCCTCAAAAACAAAAGGAACTTAGCCTGTCTAGCTTGACTTTTCTTTGTTTCGCACATCCCAATTGGTATTTTGCCATCCAGTACAGTTGATTTTCTACCATGTGACCGTTTCATGCATAAGGCCTATTGCTTGAGGAGAAGTCTTTTTACGATGAAGGATTGAAGTYGATCAATGAATTTCTCTTTAGTCCTGTATAAAGCTTGTGAGGTTGCTTATAATCATGTGTTTTTCCTGCTCCTCCACGATAGAGAGCCATCTATACGCGGACGTGACGGCTAGTCCTGCTTCAGTCTATGGATCCATTGCCATCTATAATGCCCCCATCCATTGATCTGTCAATCTCTKATTCATCAATTTATTCTTAAATTCTAATTATATTAAATATCCACCAAACCATATATGATTCAGAACTAATCCATMCGATTAACTTTTGATTCCTTGGTTCTGCCATTTTCTTATCTTKTTTTGGAAAAGGTTCTATTGGATTGCTTGGAAGCAAATCTCCAAGATTTTTCACCCATGGTCGGATGCTTCATACCCAGTCAGTCAAAGCTCAAAGTACTCCTTTTATMGTCGAMAAAACGACAAYGAAAGCCTACATAGACTTTGGGAACAGTTTCMAAATAACAGCAGACGGCCATTTTGCACACTTGAACGACCTCTACGTTGGCTTGTGCCTGGAAAGAAACCAGTCAAGTCGGAAACTGACTTGCCTGGACAAGTTTCACTGGCTTGGCAAAGTTAATAAAGGCGTTTCCGATTGGTATAGAGATACTTCTGGAATTCAGTCATTTCCCACAAATGAGACATTTTCAGACATAGGGATTGAGCTTGCTGCAGTCCAACCATTTGTTGTTGTAGAGGTATGTTGATGAATTTGATCGTTTAACACACAGAATAGGTGAAAGATGAGATATAGAGGATTAAACTATAAATGATAGGCCATTTTGTTTGAATATAGGTGATCGGCAATTGGCCAGACATCTATTGTAWAGAGATTATACTTGCRGAAGCTGTGGACGGTGTTGATATTCACCCATACGACGACTGGACTATGCGGGAAGAGCCTGAAAATACAACCAAAGTTCGACTTCTKGCCACAAAGTTTGGAGAACCTTTGCAAAACGCAAAGGTGCAATTTGAATCCGCAGCCTTGGAGAACTGTCCACTTCTCTATGARAACGAGCCTCCAGTAGGCAAACCGACAATACCACCACCCAATGATGTCTTCACAAATTCAGATGGCATTGCGGAATTCCAGATTCCAACAAATGATCCCAAAAACGCAAGAAAGTTTATAGACGGACAKATCTATCCATACGTTTATTATCTTGATTACCAAGGGTCTAAGAGAAAGCATTACACTGAGATGTGCGATTTTAAAATTCTAAATCAAATGATTGTTATAGGAATTTGGGACAAGTACGGTCCTGTAGCAGAACCGACGTGGTTAGATCATGTTTATCCAATATTCAAGCTCTACGCCAATCTTTATCCAGTCATGACAGCAAATATCATTGATCTCGGTAACTATTATGAGGTTGTTGATCGCAAGAATTCCATAATAATGAGCATGGAATTGCCTATTTCTCACCCCAACTACATGCCTGTTACAAGAGATCTTTCACCTTCTAAAAGAAAAGTGATCTTGGACTGGCTGAAGAAGGACAACCCGCCAATTGGAGAATCAAAAGACTTTTACACAGTTGAGAATCTYCGAAAAGACTTGCAAATCGCACTACAGTTGGAACAAGCAACTATTCCTCCATACTTGACAGCTTATGCATCAATTAAACACAACCAAAACGAGGACGTCAAAAGCATTTTGAAGTCAATCTTCATCCAAGAAATGATGCACATGAATTTGGTGGCCAACATTCTGAATGCTGTAGGAGGCAGTCCTGTCCTAGACTCCAGAGATTTTGTTCCWTTTTATCCCACTCRTCTCCCTGGAGGAATTCAACCTGACTTAGTTGTACCCATTGAAAAACTCTCCATCGGTCTCATCAGAAACGTTTTTATGGAGATTGAAAAACCAGGAGTGACAAAAGAAGAAGAATCAATCATCAGACAATCAGCTCCTACCCCATATCCACAATCACCACCAGC